CTGCTCTGGTGAGAAACACCGTGATAGCAGATTTAGTGGAGGAAACAAAGAAGACTGGACTCCAAGCTGCTAAAGCTGATCTCTGTCATGCTGAACATGAAGATGTGAGCTGTGATTTCTGCACTGAGACAAAGCTGAAAGCTGTCAAGTCCTGTCTGCAGTGTCTGGTCTCTTACTGTGAGCAGCACCTCCAGCCTCACTATGAAGTAGCAGCATTAAAGAAACACAAGCTGGTGGACCCCTCCCAGAAGCTCCAGGAGATCATGTGCCCTCGCCACAATGAGGTGTTGAAGATCTTCTGCCGCACTGATCAGCAGTGTATCTGTTATCTGTGCTCCATGGATGAACATAAAGGCCACGACACAGTTTCAACTGCAGCAGAAATGAGCGAGAAGCAGAGAGAGCTCAAAGAGAGACAGCAGAACATCGAGAGGAAAATTAAAGAGAAAGAGAAAAGCTTGAAGGTCCTGCAGCAGGAGATCTCTGAGCTGAGGAGGAGAAAAGCTGAGCTGGAGCAGCTCTCTCACACAGAGGACCCCACCCAGTTTCTACACAACTACACCTTGCTGTCACGTCTCAGTGAAGCTCCAGACTCAGCCAGCATCAATATTCATCCTGAGAGCTACACCGAGGATGTGGCAGCAGCTGTGTCGGAGACCAGAGAGAAACTGCAGGACAATGTTGAATGGACCATAACTGCTGTTGAAGAAACTCAGGGTGATGTTTCACTGTTTGAGTCAGAGCCCAAGACCAGAGCTGAATTCCTAAAATATAAATGTGAAATCACATTTAACCCAAACACAGCACACCAGCGCGTTGTGCTTGGGCCTGGCTTAAAAGCAAAATATAGTCATACTCAAACAATCAGGCGCTATGATCACACAGACAGATTCACTGACTGGCCTCAGGTGTTGAGCAGAGAGATTTTCACAGGACCTTGTTACTGGGAGGTGGAGTGGAGCGGGGATGATGTCTTTATAGCATTAGCTGACAGCAGTGTAAGCAGATCAGGAAAAGAGAGTGCTTTTGGAAACAATAAAATTTCATGGGCATTGGAGTGTTTCAGTGGCGGTTATACATTCAGAGATTCAGGCAACAGCACTTTCATTAAAGGTCCACAGTCCTCGAGAATTGGAGTGTTCCTGAATCATTTTAATAGTTACACTTATCTGTCCTTCTACAGCGTCTCTGAAAGCACTCGAACCATGACTCTCCTCCACAGAGTCC